GAAGAATTCTACCGTATTTTGGCACGTCAACCCCCTCATGTTGCAATTCATATAATGAACACAATTTTCGCGCGCAAAAAAAGAATTTATGATCCATTTTCTTTTCTAAAACGTGAAATTTCAATGTTAAAGGATAATGTGATTAAAACAGATTGTGTACCTCATTATTGTGTGCTAATGAGAAAAGCAGTGGTGACACCTACGACTATGTACTTGTTACCACCTGTAATGGAAACATCAAATAGAGTCATTAGACATTTCAAAAATTTCAAGAACAATTTTTTACGTGTTCAATTTACTGACGAAGATTCCGAAAAAGTTTCTTATACATCAGGAAGTACAAATACAGCAATCTACAATCGAATATTTAGAGTACTTTTACATGGAATAAGAATTGGTGATCGTCATTATGAATTTTTAGCATTTTCTGCTAGTCAGTTAAGGGAACATTCATGTTGGTTTTTTGCATCAATACCAAATGTAATATCGGCCGATAAAATCCGGGAATGGATGGGCGATTTTTCTAATATTAAAAATGTTGCTAAATATGCTGCTCGAATGGGTCATTGTTTCTCTAGTACACGTGCTGTTTCAAATTTACAAGTTGATGATATTAGTGAAATTCCTGATATTATTAGGAATGGTTACGTATTTTCTGATGGAGTAGGAAAGATTTCACCAAAATTAGCAAAAATTGTTTCCCAAGTATTGGAATTTAAACATGTTCCAAGTGCTTTTCAATTTCGATTAGGAGGTTATAAAGGTGTTTTATGTCAATCACGGTATTTACGAAATAATCAAATTCAAGTTAGACCTAGTCAGTGCAAATTTGAATCAAAACATAATATATTAGAAATCATTAGAGGGTCAAGAATGATTACCGCATATCTTAATCGACAAGCGATTACGATATTGTCAACATTAGGTGTGCCTGATGAGGTATTTATTTCGATGCAAAATGATCAAGTTGAGGAGTTGGATAGGATGCTTAAAAATGAGGAAATGGCTATCCGTGTACTAAATAGTAATATTGATGAACACGATGTTACACGTATGATGTCCGATCTTGTAAAAGCCAAATTTTTCCAAAGGAACGATCCTTATATAGTAAACCTTATTTCTTTATTCCGAATTACAATGTTAAGGAACTTAAAGAAGAAAGCTAAAATTCGTATTGATGATGGAGCCTTTTTGTTAGGTGTATTGGACGAAACGGAAACTTTGAGGGAGGATCAAATTTATTGTTGCATATCTGATCCACGGAATCCGGGGGCGAGAAGAGTAATAACCGGAAATTGTATTGTATTCCGTAATCCTTGTTTTCATCCTGGAGACATTCGTGTCGTCAACGCTGTTAACTGTAAAAGCCTAGACTATCTTGTCGATGTGGTGGTTTTTCCAGCAACTGGATATCGTGATATTCCTAGTCAACTTAGTGGTGGTGATTTAGATGGCGATGATTTCACGTAAGTATTCCACGAACTTTGTTTTTAAACATTCGGATTTTATTAATATTTTAATAATTTATATTTCTAATAATTTATTAGTATAATTCATGATCCAAGTTTAATACCTAAAATTAAAAACGTTGAGCCAATGGATTATAGAGCTCCTGAACCAATTCTAGTTGATAATGTTACCATTGAAGACATAAAAAGATTTTTTATAAATTATATATTGTCAGATAATTTGGGCTTGATTTCTAATGCACACTTGGCTAAGGCTGATTTAGCAGAAAATGGAGCTTTTCATGGTAAATGTCTTCGTTTGGCTCAGCTAAGTTGTGAAGCAGTAGATTTTCCAAAGACTGGAATTCCTGCTGAATTTCCTAACGAACTTAGAGCAAGAGATGTACCTGATTTTATGGAAAAGTTTGATAAAGCTACTTATAGTTCAAAGAAAGTTCTTGGAAAATTATATCGATTGATAAAAGTCTCGGATTTCGATCCTTACACAAAAATTATATTTGATGAGAGGTTAATAGTTCCGGGATTCGAATTCTATTTAGAAGGAGCAAGAATTTATAAAAAAGAATATGATTTGGAATTACGTAGTTTAATGAATCAATACGGTTTATTATCTGAATATGAAGCCGTAAGTGGCTTCATCATTAGTACTACTCTTATAGTTGGAAAGAAGAAACCACGTAATACACAGAATTCTGTAGCGAACATGGTAACAGCGATTAAAAGTCGCTATAA